TATTAAGTTTGAAAAACTATCCATTAGGAGATTATTTTCCTTTTTTTATATACTTCTTTTTTCTTCTATATTTTTATTGGTRTATTATAATTACACATGATGATAGGGTTCATCATTACATATTTGTACATGCACATGAGATAACAATAGAGACTGTTTCCAATATTTAAATTCCCTTTTTGAGCCAAACTAGTCAAAGAAGTTTACTAAATACATAATAAACACAGAGGCATGTATGAAATACTTTCTCTTATATCTTCTTTTAATTTTTATAACGTGAACTAAATTCATATATTCTACATCATCTAAAGTATTAAGCTGATATATTTTTTTCAGCTTGTCTTAAGTAATACAATAGAACTTCATATGGAATGATACTCTAAAACAACCTAACAGCCTACACACTTTAATAAAAAGAAAAAAACAAAATCAAAGGATAATACAATAACAATAACATTCCTCAATCACAAAAGAATGTTGTAATCAAGAGAAACTACAGGACTGGAGATGTACCTCATGGTAGAGCACTTGCCTTAAAATGTGAATTTAATCCTCAGTACCACAGAAATAAATAAATAAATATTAGAATAAGAGAAAGGAAAACTAAGGCGTATATTTTTAATTCTGCACTATAAATAAAATGAAACACCAAGATAAATTATGGCTTTACTTCATTAGTTCAAGGTTTGTTTATGGGTTTTAATTTCTCAACTACTCTATTAAAAAGTATATTTTTCATGTAATTTAAAATATATTACCATTATTATAAGCAAAACGAATTCATGTGAGTTGATTATAAGTTTAGTAAGAAAGAAAAAAAAGCAATGTGTTTTCTAAGGAAGCAACCACTTTTTCTAGTGTTAAACTATTGGTAGTGAACATTTCATTCATTCATTCATTCATTTGGCAGTTAACACATTAAAGTGACTCTTGCATAATTCAGTTTAATACTTAAAGAGTTTTGATTATTTCAGGTGCCCCTAAGAGGAGATGTCATAACTTATATCATAACAGCTGGAAGAGTGGGATATGCAAATGGTGACAAAAATATTACTGCAGGTTTTCCTCACAAAACAACAATGTAGGGTAATTACTAGACTGGCTCTTGAATTGTAGAGAAAAGTCAAGGAAATGAAAGAAGCATGGGAGGAAGAATCTGTGGCTAAAAGCATCCAAACAAYTTTTCTATCTCCCCATTGCCAAAGAAATTGAACTGCTCTTTCCCCTTCCTTTACATAATCCAGCAGCTTCCCTTTTGCTATTTTTTCCTTTCCTTTTTCTTTTTGGTACTGGGGATTTAACTCAGGGGTGCTTAACCCACTGACCTATAGCCCTAGCCCTTTTTATTTTTTGAGACAGGATCTTGCTAAGTTGTAGAGACTGGGCTTGAATTTCTGATCTTCCTACCTCAGCCTCCAGAGTTGCTAAGATTACAGGTGTGTACCACCATGCCGGGTTCCTTAAAACTGATTCTATAGGGGAAAGGAAGAAGAAAGGAAGGGAAGCAGAGTATTTTGCTTCAAGGTCAAATAATACTGTTCTCCTTTGTCTCACTCTCCTACACCTGCTGAGCCAGTCTCAATAGCACTACAGGATGACAGGGCCTGAGATGGGAAGAAACTTGCTAGTATTTGAAGAAGTAAAGTCATGCATATATCAAATATGAATGTCATTACATTAATCTTATATATATTCAGTAAGTGAATACTTTACTTTCACTATTCAAGCATGTAACTGCTACTATTTTTCAGTTCTGGGAATTGAATTCAGGATCTTGGATATGCTAGGCAAGCACTCAATCTACTGAACTATACCCCGAGCCCCCTTTTTAATTATTTATTGAAACAAGTTCTAAATTGCCCAGAGTGGCCTCAAACTTTTCATCTTCCGCCTCAGCCCCTTGAGTCACTGAGATTACAGGCATATGCTACTGGGCCTGGTGAGGCTTATCTCCCTTGGTTGGTTGGTTGGTTTTTTGGTGGTGCTGGAGATGGAGTCCAGAGCCGTGCACAGGTGAGGTGACTGCTCTACCATGAAGCTAAATTCTCAGCCCTATCTTATTTGTTGTTGTTGTTTCTAGTTATTCTTTATTTTCCATTCATTTATGACTGCTCTTGTCTTATTTTTTTTTCTTTCTATACCCCTTTAAAATTTGTTAGTTAAGCCATGCTTTTAACTCCAGTCACTTAGAAGTTGAGGCCAGAGGATCTCAAGTTTAGGCCAGCATTCACAATTTAGTGAGGCCCTAAGCAACTTGGCAAGACCCTGTCTCAAAAATAAAAAATAAAAAGGGCTGGGTATAAGGCTCAATGGTTAAGCAACCCTGAGTTTAATCCCCAGCACCAAACTAAACCAAACCAAAAAGATTTCCTAGTTGGGTTTGCTTACACATGCCTGTAATCCCACCAATTTGGGAGGCTGAAGTAGGAAGACTGCAAGCTCAAGGACATCCTGGGCAACTTAAGGAGACCTGTTTTGAAATTTTAAAAAAGGGGGCTGAGGATATAGATCAGTGGTAAAATGCCCAAGTTCAATTCTCAGTACTACGTACACACACACATAAAATTCTTTTGTTATTCTTTTTCTCCTGAAGGCAGATTCCCTAGGTTCAAATCCTTACTCTGCTATTTACTAAGAATCTTGGTAGTGTTTTGCAATTTATTTGTCTGTTTCTAGTCCACAAAATGGGAATAAAGATAGTATCTAGGGCTGGGAGTATAACTGAGTGGCAGAGCACTTGCCTAGCACATATGATGCACTGGGTTCAATCCTCAGCACCACATAAAAATAAATATATAAAATAAAGGTATAAAACAATAAAAAAAAGTCTCTAAACGTGTTTGTTATGAGTTTACGTGTACAAAATACTTTAGCAATGTCAATATGGCAGTGGCACATAGTAACCACTCCATGTTAGCTATTATTAGCACCATCTTTAGTAGTACTACAACTACTACCACTACTACCATTATTACTACATAGGTTATTTAGAATTGCTTTTTCTTTAGTTTCTAAAAATAGCAGCTTTTCAATACTATAATATCAATTCCTAATTTGTCATTTTTAATAGTGTACATCAGCTTTCTTTTAATTTCTACAAAGGAATATTTTTATTTTAATTTGTGGTAAAAAATTCAATTTTTTAGGATTTTTCCTTTATATTTTTTTCTTTCCTTTTTTGGGGGGTACCAGGGATTGAACTCAGGGGCACTTAGCCACATCCACAGCCTTTTTAAATTCAGAGACAGGATCTTGCTAAGTTGCTTAGGTTGGCTTGAAATTTGAGATTTTCCTGCCCTAGACTCCCCAGCTGCTGGGATTACCAGTGTGTGTCACTGCACCTGGCACCTTAATACTTTTTTAAAAAAATATTTTAAAATTTGTTCTAATTAGTTATACATGACAATAGTATGCATTTTGGCACATCATACATATATGGAGTATAACTTCTCATTCTTTTGGTTATATATGATATAGAGTTAAACTGATCATGTAAYCATTTATGCACATAGGGTAGTAATGTCCAATTCATTCTACTATCCTACCTACCCCATACCCTCTTCCCTCCTTTCAGTCCCCTCTATCTAATCCAAAGTACCTCTATTCTTACCTAACTCCACCCCCCACTACTTATTGTGAATTAGCATCCATATATCAGAGAAAACAATCAGCCTTTGGTTCTTTGGGATTGGCTTATTTCACCTAGCATGATATTCTCTAGCTCCATGGTACCATAATACTTTGACATCATAAATTTAGCTATAAATACTAATTTCACATGTATCCCTCATGTTTTGATATGTGTAGTACTTACAGAATTATTTGGTTCTGAAAATTTGAAATGCCCCTCATAAATCCCCACATAGGTTATTTAGAATTGCTTTCTTTTTTTTTTTTTTTGTAGTTTCTAAAAGTAGCAGTTTTTCAGTACTATAATATCAACTCCTAATTTGTCATTTTTAATAGTGTACATCAGCTTTCTTTTAACTTCTACAAAGGAATATTTTTATTTTWATTTGTGGTTAAAAAATACATTATATGTCAAGAACCCCTAACTCATGTCACTGGAGATTGAATGTAGAAGTGCTCTAYCACAAGCTACATACCCAATTCTTTAATTTTTTTTTTTCTTTCTTTTTAAATCTTGAAGGCTCACTGAATTTCCCATGCTGGCCTCAAATTACAATCCTCTTGCCTCCAGCTCCAGAGTACTGAGATTATGAGTGTACCACCATGCCCRTCTATCTCAATCATGTTTAAGTACATAGTTCAGTGGCATTAAGGACATTCACATTACTGTATAACCATCACCACTGTCCATGTCCAGAAAAATTTCATCTTCCAAAACTGGAACTCTGTATCCATTAGGTCTCCCCATTTTGGATCCTGGCAACCACCATTCTACTCTCTGTTTCTCTGAATTTGACTGCTCCAGGTACTTCATATAAGTGGAATCATACAGATTTGTCCTTCATACTTAGCAGAATGTCTTCAAGGTTCATCAATATTGTAGCATTTATCAGAATTTTCTTCCCTTTCTAAGGCTGAAGGTATACACCATATTTTGTTTATCTGTTYATCARTCAGCACTTAGRTTGCTTCTACTTTTTGGATATTGTGACTTATGCTGCTATAAAAATAGATATACAGGGCTGGGGATGTGGCTCAAGCAGTAGTGCGCTCGCCTAGCATGTATCCGGCCCAGGTTTGATCCTCAGCACCACATATAAACAGGGATGTTGTGTCCACCGAAAACTAAAAAATAAATATTAAAATTCTCTCTCTCTTTAAAATAAATAAATATAAAAATAGATGTACAAATACCAGTTCAAGTCCCTGCTCTCAATTTTTGAGTGTATACCCCAAAGTGAGGAATATCTTCATGCGCGCGCGCGTGTGTGTGTGTGTGTGTGTGTGTGTGTGTGTGTGTGTGTTGGAGAATGAACCAAGGGTTATTCTTCTACTGCCACATACCCAGTCCTTTTTATTTTTTGTTTTAGGACAAGGTCTCATAAATTGCCAATGCCGGCTTTGAATCTGCAATCTTCCTACTACCTGAGTTTCCTGAGGAGCTGGGATTAGAGGCCACTAGGCTCAGAAGTATTATCTTTTATACTCTTTTTATGTTCACATTTTCTATATGTGCATTTGAGATCTAGTTATAAACTACATATGGATGCATTTTTTTTCTTTCCATGCCCCTGGATTTTTTCTTTGGTATTTATTTATTGCTATTGTTCACTTTTGTACTAGGGATTAAAACCAGGGGTGCTATACCACTGAGTTATATTCCCAATTCTTTTTTATATTTTTTAAATTTTGAGACAGGGTCTTGCTAAGTTGCTAAGTCTGGCTTTGAACTTGCAATCCTCTAGTCTGTCTCCCAAGTTGCTTTCAAGTATAAATTACCTGCTTTTTCTTCCACTCTCCTCTCAAAACTTCTATTGTACAATTACTATTATGGCATTATGTAAAAATGTAGATGTGTAACCGATGTGATTCTGCAATCTTCRTAATGTTTTGAATAACCAATAAAAAAAAACTATTGTACATAATTTGTCTCTCTTAACATTTCTGTCATACACATGATATATAAAATATTTGTATTTATATGTCTAACTATTTCTTGCCACTCTGTGCTACATTCTTGATGAATATCTTAGTACAAACTTCAAAATAATTTCTTTTGGCCAATTATTTCCATGATCTCATACACTAGGTTTTTAGTTCAATGATTATTTTTCTAAATGTAAATTGCATTAGATATACATCTGTTTTGATTTCTGTTTCTTAATTTCTTAAATTAGGTATTCCCTCATTTATCTCTTTGAGCATCCTTAAAAATGCTTTAAGTCTTTCTGGGTGTGATGGCACACACCTGAAATCCCAGCAACTCTGGACACTGAGGCAGGAGGATCACAAGTTCAAAGCCCACTGAGCAACTTAGTGAGGCGCCATCCYAAAACAAAAAATGTAAGGGGCTGGGGATGTGGCTCAGTAGGTAAGCACCCCTGAGTTCAATACCCAGTACCAAACAAAAAACAGAACCCTAAACCAAACAAACAAACAAACAAAAACTTTTAAGTCTTTAGCAGACTGTTACATAAAATGATTTTTATGTTTGTTAATGTACCTCCCTTCTCCCCCCACTTCTTCCTCCCCCTCTTCCTCCTCCTCCTTTCTCTCTCTCTCTCTCTCTCTGGTTGTTGTTGTTTTGAGCTCGGGTCTTGCTATATTGCTCAGCCTGGTCTCAAACTCATGGGCTTAAAAAATCCTCCCACCTCAGCCTTCTGAGTAGCTGTAACTATAGGACTACAGGCGCGCACCACCAAGTCCACCTTAGGTTACTAATTTTCATTGTGGGGTTGGGGGAGTGTTCATGAGTTT